CGTTGCCAATGAGATTTACAGCCATCGTGCCTTGTACGAGTACATCTATTACAGGGATATCGACACGGCACTCGCTCGGATAAGGTGGGACGGGGGCGCTTTTTATTTTTTTTATTATTATTTTGCTAATATTTATATTTTATATTTATTTTTCTTTTGTATTATAAGTATTATTATTCAAATGCTAATATTTTAATTTTATAAGGTGGGACGGGGGCGCTTGTGGCACGAATCACTGGATGGACACTCCAACCGACCTCTACCCTGTTGCAACCCTATTTAATGTAGTTTTCGTTCTTTTAGGCTCTGGTCGCGATGGTCGTTTGCCTAACCAGTTCAGCTGCACAGTATTGCCGCTCGCTGCAGCATCAACGAGCACAGGGCCATGCCGTGAGATTTGCATATGTCATCTTGGTAGCTACGAACACTACATTCGGTTAGATTTGACTCCGAATTGTCCATTACCGCCTATTCATAGTATGTGGTTCAGACACCGAACTTCTTCGGTGGAGAATTTGGAGAATCGGTACCAGTCTAGGTTGCAATTATGGTTTGATGCTCAAAATAACCCCTGATGTATGACATATTTTCTTTCATTCGATGTTCGGTTTTATGTTGTTGGGAACTTTAAAAAGATTATGTTTTTTTTCATTATATGCTTTCATTTTATTCTTGTTTATAAAAAAAAAAAAAACATATGTCGCGCGTAGAGAGAGGTCACACGACTCGTGTGCCAAGTGACACGAGTCGTGTGACACTAACACGGCTCGTGTCACAAGTGACACGAGTCGTGTGACTCATGAGAAAAATACGAGCCGGCTACGTCTTTTTCACACGACTCGTGTGACAAGTGACACGAGTCGTGTTAGTGTCCAAGACCCGTGTCACCTGGCACACGAGTCGTGTAACTCATGAGAAAATTGTCTAATTCGCAACAACTTTTTCACACGGCTCGTATGCTATGTGACACGGGTCGTGTGTGCGTCACACGACCCGTGTCACTTAGCACACGAGTCGTGTGACTCATGAGAAAAATTACGAATTAACTACGGCCTTGTCACACGACCCGTGTCGCATAGTCACACGAGTCGTGTGACCTCACACGACCCGTGTTACCCTGTCGTGTGATGGGTCGTGTGGACCAGAAAGTATTTCGAAAATTGAATGTTTTTCACACAACCCGTGTCACCGGGTCACACTAGTCGTGTGAGATGAAAACAATAATGTTTGACAAAAAAAAAACATCATGTTTGACAAAATTCGTCTGATACGCATAATGTTTGACAAAAAAAAAAAAAAAAAA